ATGACACTCGTTAGCAAATTCTTTTGCATCTGCTGACTGTAGATGGCAGCCCTTCGCTTGGGGGGGGGGGTTGTGTGTGTGTGTGGTGTGTGTGTCACACAAACGTCATGATGGCCTTTCTTTTGGGTGGTGGTGGTGACAATCAAAGGAAGAGGATGGGCAGTTTCTAAAAATAATGTTAAGGCCACATTTCAAAAAGGAGGAACCTAAGGCTTTTTTTGTGTGTGTATGTGGAAAGGGGAGGGGAACCAGGTGGAGGAAGATGAGGCATGGAGAAGACGGTATTAGGAACGAGGGGAGCAAAGTGGAGGAGGACCTGCTTTCCTGGGGTGTCTGTAGGCAGAGGTGGGTGGAGAGTTCCCAGCCAGGTGGAGGAGAAAGAGGGGACCATGTTCTCCTAGCACGGGGCTTGGCAAGAACAGAATCAAAGACAGTGCACGGGGCAGACACAGGCGGCTTGTGAAGGCCCTTGTCAGTCTTAAGAGAGTCCTGTACTGTATCTTGTTGTCAAGATAAAAAAAAAAGTAATAACACTTCTAAAAGATGGGGAAGAGAGATAAGAGATAAAAGTAGAGGGGGGGGGAAGAGAGAGAGAAAGAGAGAGAGATATTGAGAGAGTGATTTTGCATAGATCGTACATGTAGCTCAAGGAGATTGTGGACACCTTTTTTCTCCCCTCAGGTAAACTTCTCAGCAGACACAGTGAGGTAGCGCCTGTGGTAGACCCATGGGCAAAATAAGGTAACTGAGGCAGAAGCAAAGAGGACCTAACTGGTGAACATTTGCCCCAATTTGGGATCTGGAGAGAACCAGGCCGCCTGACACACCTTCCCCGTCTTCCTCGACCCTGTCCATGACCTCTCTGGTTTGGGTGGACATGAGATGCTAGAAGGTGTGGACCAAGACAAACGTGGACCTCGACCTGTTTAAGGGGCAGTGGCCTCTCCTGTCTTGTCTCCCATTCTGCGTAACTGTTTGGGGACCAGGAGGATGGAACCAGCTCTCAGCAGAGGAGACACCTCCCCTATGGGTGGGTCCTTGGGGTGGGCGGCGGGGGGGGGGGCAGCTACGTTACAGGAAGAAATTCCAATTCTCTTCCCATTCCAATGTGAGGTCTGATTTTGTACCCTTTCTGAAGGCTGGTCTTTCCCTGTCTCCATGAGGACAAAGCCTAACCTCATTTTAAATCGCTTCCCAGAGAGCAGAGGTTGCTCAATGCATCTTCTCACATGTGGAATGACACTCCCTCCACTTTATAAAAAACAAAACCAAAAAAACCAAACCCCAAAAAACAAAACAATGCCCCAAATGCTAACACTTTAAAATCGGTAAATGTCCTGGAACACTCTGGATGTCTGGCTTCCCTTACAATGCTGGGTGGGGTGGGGGGCTGTCCACTACACTCTAGCACTCTCACTGAGTGGCAGGCTGGAGCCTATGGGCAGCTGGTTTGTTTGGGGAGTGACTTCAGCGTTTGTCAGTTTGCTACAGACTTCACCACTCCCTTTTGCCTTCCACCAACCAGTGTCACTGATTTGTCAGTGGTGTGGAGCCTACAGGCATCTGAGACTCTCTACACAAAAAAAGAATGGCTTTTATCTGGGGGTCCTTTCTTGCCATCATTAAAGCTGAGTGTTCACAGCTGGCTTCCCCATCCCCCAAATGTTAGTTCCTTTTTAAAATTTTTTTTTTTTAATTTTCTACTAGTTAATTTATAAAATTCTAATACATTGTTTTCAAGAACAAATTCTTTCCATTTCCCTCACCTTGCCGGGTACCTACGTCTCCCTCTGTTCACACCGTACCCAGGAGCTGCTCTTCTTGGTAGTGAGATCAAGCTTTTACTCTCCTGTTCCCACTGCAAACTCTAGAATCCGAAAGAGTCCCCCCTGGACTAGGGACTCGTCCTCGGCTTGCTCATCTGCTCTAAATGTTTGTTGTGTACCATCAAGTTGGAACCGACCCACAGCTGACTCTATGGTGGGTTTATCTAATGTTATGCATTAGATGGCAAACCAACAAGGGGAACTAAAGAAACTCCAATCAGAAAGGCTTTTTCCAAATGGAGGAACCCATACTCTTTTTAAAACCCTGGGGGTTGCTTATTTCTTCCTTGGAGACAGTTTTCCCTGTGGCAATGGGAAATGGGGTCTGGAAGGCTGGCTGCCTCTGTGTTCCTTCTGCCAAGGGTTGGGAAGGAAGCCATGGATGGAACATTTCCTTCTGTTGCCAAGTCCAAGAGTCATGTCTAAACTTTCCTCTGTCCCCAGGGCTGTGACTGCGGTACCCCTGTGGATGGTCAAGATTTCCAGACAGACCATAGTCTCACATTTATTATTATTTTTTTTAAATCCTCTCACAACCATGTTAACCTCTCGCACTGAACTCATTTCCAGGCAAGAAAAACAAAACTAAAACAGACAGAAGAGTTCAACGATGTTTTCTGGGAAATGTTAACTTTTAAAGAACCCTCCCGGCCCCCTCAGATGCCACTTATGCAAGATTTCTCACTGGGACCAGACCTGAGGGGATAAGAGAAGACCCTTCGTGATGACCCAGCTGTGTGCGTTAATGTGGGATGAACGAGGGACGGGGTATGGAGGCGGTGGGGTGTCCCCTGGGTAAGGCAGGTCTGCTGCTTCACCACTTCTTCCTGGATGGAATACGCATCAGGGGGATGGTGGGTGCAGAGGGGACGTGTCGAGATGCCTGCAGGCTCACAGTGCACAGTGACAGGCATGGGAGTGGCCTCCAAAGTCCTGGTGAAGGGCACGGGAAAGCAGACAATCCAGTGAACTGGACAGATGGTGGGAGGGTAAACTCTGTAAGCCTGTATGCTGATGGAACCTGGCTGGAAGCAGAGGGAACCCAGTGCCCAAAGACTGTGATGCCACTCTCAGAGCTCATAAGCTTTCCAAGAAAGCCAGCTCGAGTCTCTCGGAACCACTGTTGCTGACAGATCTCTCCTAGACTCTTCCTGGCGGCCTGACCACCCTCTTCCTAAGCAAGCCACCCCCTCCCCCCCACTTCCCCCAGGCTTGGGAAGAATCTGGCTCCCTCTTCCGCCATGCCTTGTCAAACCCATGGCAGGAACGGTCAAAGGAACTTAGCAGTGAAGCCATTACTTCTCTACAGGTAGAACATTCTCTGCCCACATCCTTCTGCCCGGGGAGGGAGTAGAAACCCAAGACCCTTCGAATAAAGAGGGGCAAATGAGACTCACACCTTCAGAGCCAGAGCTTTGATGTTCGCCCAGACAGACCTACGTGAGGTCGGAGCACGGTGCCAATGGGGCTTTCCCTCATGGTGTCCAACTCCCCTGTGTTACTCTGAGGCTAAGGAGATCATGGAGTGGACACAGATACAGAAACGGACAGAGAGATACTAGGAAGCGGGCTGGGGAAAGAAGCGGCGGAAGGCTGGGGTAGGGGGCCTTTTGTGAACAAAGGCAGCTTTATCTAGTGAGAGAACATAATTGAGAGCTGCAAAAAAACAGCATCTACTCATTAGTCATGGACTAAAACATAAATAATAAATATCTCAAGTGTCCTCTATTACCCACAGGACACCCTGCCTCGCTGGGGGTGGGGAGGGGGCCCAACACAGCTGACAGGTGTCCTTCACGTTCCCAGAAACCCCAGGTAACCTCAGACCCAAACTGGAGAGAAATCTAAGGGCTAGCTGCAACCCGGGCCTGGCTTTTCCAAGGGAATTCCGTCCTTAGGGGTGAGGATCAGAGGAGGAAGTGGAACCCTCAGAAGGGCTTCTCCAATCTCAGGGGCACGTGGCAAGGATAGCCTTTGTATTTCTGGTCTTTCAAGCCATGGGGAGAACACTGCTGCTTAGTATTTAAGGAATCGCTCAACCTTCCCGCTTTTATTTTGTTTTCAGATGGGCCTGCAAGCACCTGTGATAAAGAAGGATGTGGATCTGAAAATCAAATCTGAAATGCTTTCTTCCTGAAATGTAAAAAGTCAAGTCCACACAGATCAGTCACTCGCAGCAGCACCAGCTCAGGGGCGGCTGGAAGAGGTCTGAAGGCCTTGACCTCAGCACTGAAGGGCTTGGCAGGGTGACTGAAAATGCTGTCCTGCCCAGCCCCAGAGCTGTTTGGGCGTACTCTCCTGTAAGCTTCATGGCCATGGGGTTCCTACTTCCTATCTTCAAGGAACAAAGCTTTCAAGGCTCCTGAGTGGGCAGAGGACTTGCACTGTGTCCCTGTCTGATAGTCCGAGCAGCCTTAAGGGTGTCCCTAGATAAATGTGGCCCTGAACACTGGGCAGTTGGTAGCCTCACTAGCGAGTGACCTTGGGCTTCTACGGAATGTTCTGTCATCTGCTCACAAAGGAGCGGGGCTCAACCAGTGTGGAGGGAGGACAATGTGACTGACTTTCAGTGGCCCTGTCACTTCAGGCTGACACAGGAGGGGCAAGGAGATGAGCCAATGAGAGGGCTTGGAGGTCAAGGCCCACGGCCTGGGCAGTGCGATTCCAACTGGGTTTGCAGAGCCCTTGGGAGGTGACGAGGTACCTTAGGAAATGCCCTCAGAGAAGGACCAACCGGTGGGCTGAGCTTTGAGAAGATGCCTCCACTTGCCACTTCAACAGGAGCAGCTTGGGGTTCAACTACACCTTGAACTTCCACCCAAGGCTGTGCTTGGTAACAGAGTCAGGTGGTTCATGAGGGAGGTTTGGGATACCTACTGCCTGTCTGGGGGCTGAGTCCCGGGAGGGAGAGGAAAAGGAACATGGAGGCCTTGAACATCAACCAGAAAAGCTGGGACACTGAGGCGCTGGGAAGGAGCAGTCCCTGCTCTTGGAAGCCAGCCTGCAGGTCATCCACAGACCCCGACTGGCCCCTCCAAGCCGCCTTCTCCAACCACAGCCAGGAGCGGGCCTTGCACAAAGGCACCCCCAGGGGAAGACCCAGGGTGCAGGCCCTGCAGACCCTCTGGCTGCTTTCCCTTTGAAACCCCTGTCACATCCAAGCCATGTCCAGTGCTACCTGAGGCGGCCATCGGGTTTGACGGCCCCCAGCTCGGATTTGGGGTCCGGGCTGAAGGAGCTCCAGGCTGTCTGGGTGCAGGCCTGCATGACGGGGCAGGCGGAGGGCCCGGTGGTGCAGATGTCCATGGCAGTCCACACACTGCTCACCAGCGAGTCCAGCCAGCCCTCTAGGACGGCGCCTGCGGATGCTGCGTGCCGCCGGGCCTGCTCCACCTGGGCGGGGCTGATGGGCAGGCTGAGCACGGGGTTCAGGCTCTGGAAGTTCTGCTCCATGTAGGCGCCATGCGGGGGGCCGTTGTGCAGCTTCAGCGCCTCCTCTGAAAGCCAAAGGAAACAGGGGTACGATCAGAAGGGGTGCTGCTCACAGCATCAGGCTCGTCAGCACTCCTGGAGCTGACCCACTTCACAGAAGTAGAAACTGAGTCTGTGAGACCTTTCCTCTGACGGGTACTGAGCCCGCTCTGCGCCAGCTACGGCTCATCCTTCCATTCGTTTAACACACGCCAGGAACCAGGGCACTGCACTCAATCAACACGAACCATCTCCTGTCTGCAAGGTCCTCTATTATTTATCTGAACACTATATATAATTTTTTTTTTAATTTTGGGTTTTGTTTTACATTCTTTCAAGCTGTAAAGAGTCATGTCAGAGTCATGTTTTTGGAAAACATGTGTGGTTACATCACCACAGATCTAAGCCCCGAGGAAGAGCAGTCTGTAATGATGGATCCTCAATGATATAAAACAAAATGTGTATGAATGAAAAATGCATGTGATTTAGAAACTGTCACTCAAATGAATAAATTAAATAAAACAAAACTATGGGTCATTTTCTCCTCCCCCATAACCTCTTCCCATCCTCTCAATTTATAGTTAAACAACAGGGATGAATTACTTAGGGGCTTTCTCTTTAAATACACACACACACACACACACACACACACACACTCTCTCTCTCTCTGTGTCCCCCCTTCTCTCTCTCCCCCCTCCCCTCCCCCTCTCTCTCCATATGTAGTGCTGGTGGCCCCTTGGTAAGAAGTTGCACTGCAATCCCAAAGGCATATGGTTCGAATCCACCAGCTGCTCTGCAGGAGAAGGATGGGCAGTCTCCTCCCATGTGATTAACTGCCTCTGAACCTGCTGGAGGGTCCGCTCTGCGTCAGTTCCAACTCAATGATACACAACAACAACTACCCTATGTATACATATATATTGATGTTGTTGTGTACCATCAAGTAAGAACCACCAGGCCATCAAAGTGTGTTATTTCTCTCTCTGTACACATGCACATGCAAGCACATGCACACACCCCACACACACACTTATGATCTTTTATGTACTTTGCAAAAAAAAAATGTAATTAATTCACTTTTTGTGCTCCCCGTCTCCCTCACTTCTCACCTGTGTTGACCCTCCAGGATTGATTCTATCTGTATATAAAGTGTTTGTTAGCTTTTTCTAACAGTGCTCTTTCAGGAATTTAGCATTTTCCTTTTGTGTCGTACCATCTCTGGCTGCTTTTCTGATAACACAGCAGCAGAGTGTGCGGTTCGGAGAGAGTGTACGTGGTCCACACAGCTGAAGGTATTTACTCTCCGGCCTTTGATGGAAAAGTTCACAGGTGTGGGGTGATGGAGCTGGTTACACTAGGTGGGGTGGGAAGAGAAGAGCTCTCTGAGCAGGTGACATCCTAGCTTAAGTGCAGATTAATAAGGGGGGTTGCAAAGACCCTGGGGTGAGGACACCAGCAGAGAATCATAGAGGTAGTGCCAGCACTGGAATTCTCAAGTCTGTTGGCCTGAAATTCCAGTGAGGAGCCCTGCACATGCAGCGTGGCCGCTGAGTGAGTGCACGTGGCCCACTGAGTGCGCCGTGGCCCGCTGAGTGCGCTGTGGCCCGCTGAGTGTGCGTGGCCGCTGAGTGCACGTGGCCGAACTGGTCATCCAAGGCCCTTCCTTCCTAGCAGAGTGTCTGAGGCATGGGGCATGAGCTGACA